TCTCTCTCTCTCTCTCTCTCTCTCTCTCTCTCTCTCTCTCTCTCTCTCTCTCTCTCTCTCTCTCTCTCTCTCTCTCTCTCTCTCTCTCGCGGCAACATTTGACAGCTCCTTAGTCCATAGTAGTACATACTCACACCTGGATTTCTTTTCAATGTATCTGTCTGTTGCGGTGTATCTTCCTATGTTCTTGCGGAAGATTCCTTCTCATTTTGCACATTGGCAGGCTGCTCAGTTGATGCACACATGAAACTGTTCAATTGCAGATGTGAGTTCAAACCCACTGGCAACCACAATAACATTGTTCTGATTTACAAAGGATCTGACGGCATGCTGATGCCTGGGCTGATGTCCCCACGAATGCTGCACATCCATCATGTTCTAAAACAAACACCCTCAATCTCGCCCGGGCCAGATAATGGCCGTGCCTGCGGTGGGGCAGGCGCTGGGCCGCGGCTTCGCCTCAGCGGGTTCACTTGTTATCATAAAACTACAAGAAGAAAAAAGAGTTCCAATGCCCTCCTCCATTGTCATACATTGTTTCTCCTCCACAGTCAAGTTCTCCTCCTGGTTGCACCTCAGGCCAATTAAAAATGGCTATGGCAGACCATCCTCTTCACTCTCTCCAGCCTCTACACGCTCTCGCCTGACTACCTTAAGGTTCAACACCGCAACACCACAAGAATGAAGTCTTGGATGAAGAATGGCAATCGCTTGGAGTGCCCGAGTCTTGTTCGATTGCGCCTCATCCCACAATGTCTATGGCAGCTTCCATCCCGGGACCCGCTTAGCGGGTCCACTGACACTCTTCCCCCTTGGTCACCCCAGCCTCTCTCACTACCTCAGGAAGGTCAGGCTGGTCAGCATCAACAGCATTACTTCGTGGGTGAAGAATCCTAATCTATGTCAGCTTTCTTCTACCGTCTGCACCTGGATCAAATGTATGGTCGCTATAGCTGTGTTTGGCCAACTTTCTGTCCAAATACAGCGATAAGCACTGTATGTTATGTGGCCGGCGGCCGGCAGTCACTACGTAGGCTTCTTCTCACCTCAGACATCTTTTCTCTTGTGAAATCCTCTTCCAGTCTCTCTCTTTCTCTCCCACTGGC